TCTTCCACCTCAGCATCTTCCACCTCAGCAGTCCTCTAATAGCGATTTAATTGGTGGCCCAATCTACGGGGCACTGCTCTCCTTTCTAAATTAGAATCAGAGATGAGGTGAAAGTCAATGCTCAAGGCCAAGAAACATAAAATGAACACCGTGGAAAGGCTTCACACACAATACACAACAAAACTGACGAAAATAACAACTGAGTGGCCAGCCGTTAACGTTTTCAAATGATCGGTAAATTTCAATGAATACGGGTCCAATGGTTCTTTTTCAAAGCAAACAGTGTAAGGTTAACAGTGACTCAGTTCCATCCCGTGTCCCAGTCATTCCAGTGAGTCAGCATGCACCACTTGGTTCGTGGAACTGGCTCACCTGAATAGAATGCAGCTGTTATTAAAGTTACTAGTTACACCGGTGCTGTTACTGCTGAGATACGTCAACATTGCTGTTGTGAAAAAGAACTTCAGACGTTTCTCACAGCAAGATATGGTGACCTGTCAAACACAGGAGTCACTAATAATAGTAATATGTTAGGTCTTTGGAATGGTGTAAGCTGGCTCACTGGCATGTTGAATGTCTATTGGTAATGATAATGTATATGTTACTTTTTAATGAAAAGTAAAATAAAATGAAATGCATTATTTGTTCCACAGTATAAATGAATAATGTAATTTTATAATGAGAAAAAAATGAGCATATCTTGATGGTAATATTACCAGCCTGTGGTCCTGATAAAGGGCATAGAAATACTTGCCTGTGCTTTCCCTACCAACATAACAAAATGTCTTCTGTGAAAATGGCCCATTTTCATGAGGCACATTTCTCAAGGGAGCTCTCATGCTGTGAAATTGGAAAAACAATAATACACAAAAGTCGACAGTTTTCCCCTCAGCATATGATGGTTCATACATTTCTAGAATGTAGAGGGAATTTAAACTGCAAAGGCTCCAGGTTACTTATGGAAATCATAGTCATGGCAAAATCGGTGAAAGAGTGGGAATCGAGATGTTATCCTTCATCACAACCTCCCCTTTAGCTCTTTCCTGTATTCTCAACAACATGTATACACTTCAGTGCTTAGCCAAAAGCCTGTGTTTTATTAACCTCACTTCCATTATTTCTCTTAACCTCCTGTGTCCAGTTTAATACACTTTAAATAAGTGTGGTGTAAATCCTTTCTCTTCTCACCATCAATATTCAATGCAGCCCTCAGCCTGGAAACAGTAAAACAGGCCTCTGCTGATTGGCCGATGCAGGGGGAGAAGTGAAACTCTAAGCCAGTAAAAAAAAAAGTCACATTCATCACTGTGTATGTATTTAAGTAATTCGAGGTTTTGTAAACATTTTAAACTCATTACTCTGCATTTAATTAGTGACTTTTGTATTTATTGTTATAATCCAGAGGGACACATCTGTTCCTCTGTTGCTAAAGAAGACATGCTATTCCAGCCAGGAGGAAACATAACCTTTATAGAATCGGCACCCTGTAGTCCCAAGGGCCTCTGTGATTTCTTTAGGGTACATTTGTTATTCAGCTGCCATTATTGGTACGGTTGACACACAGCTGGAGGGTAGCCACAATCTCTGTGGATGAGAGGAGTCAGAGGACCCGCTGATGCTATTATGTGTCAACATCGGGAACCAGTTAGCTGCCGAGGCAAACGGCTTCAGTGGGAGAAAAAAATTGTCATCTTCTTTTCTTCCTTTCTGGCCAGACTTAACTGATTTCCATTCTTAGATGTTCCCATTTTAGTTCTGCTGACAAATGAAAACAAGATAAAAAAATATATGACTAAAGTTCTGGAAGTATCCATGACTAGCCTCTTCTCTGATGCGCTGCTATTAATATTAAAAGACACCTCTGAAATAGCAGGGAAATGGCACTTCAGAGATGCTTTTCAGCTTCACAATAGTTCACACAGAATGTGTTGTGGAAAATACGTAAAGATGATAAACTCTGCTCAGCTCATAGACATCAAATACTGTATATATAATCATTGACTAAACTGGGGTCCCCTCCAATTCAAACACACATTACTTTTGACCTTTAGACATTCACAGCCATATCATTTAATAAACCATTGATATCATGCATTGAACAAATGCACTGGGTGTAAAATGCAAACTAGCTGTTTCTTTTCCATAGGCATATTTATACAATATTGAAGCATTATTCCTTATTAGACTGAAAATCTGTCCACCTTTCTTGACATATAAATCCTCCTGCTTTTGGTGTCTTAGTCAAAGTTCACCTCTCCTGTCATAAATGTCTGTGCTGCATATCTTTTGCCCAGTTTGCCAAAAGGGATTTGGAGTAATTGGTCACCCCAATGTTGGCGAGGGGGAAACATAGCACCATGCTTCTCCAAGTCCTGAGTCTGACATTCACCACTCGAAACAAGTGATTGCTTCCTCTGAATATTTATAACCAATTATTTTTGGTGAGTTGTGGGGTGTGAAGACTTGGCATGGAAGAGATTTCGCGAATCAGGCCATTTTGAGGTTATTGTGACGGCACTCTGAGAGCGTTAGATAACTGACATGGCAAATGTCAGTGTTGTTCCTTCATGCGCTCATGATTATAATCGGTTTGGTCAAAGGCCACGTGGCTATTTGCCTTTTGTCATCCAATTAGTGGACATTCTCGCAGCGTTTTCACAGCTGGATACCAAACTCAGATCTGATTAATTATAGTGTGATAATAAAGTATAAAGCATGACTGATTATGTTTCGACCTGTGGTGGCTTTCGTCAGACGTCAGAACTCCTGAGAACAGCACAGTACAGATTTTGTTTCTCCTGGTACCCTTTTCATTTATTCATGTTTATCATTCCGCATCTAATAAATATGCCTGTGCCGTCTTTATATGAAACATGAATGGAGCCGACTGCGAGTCGTGATGTTCTCTAAACATCACACACTGCAGCGATTGAGGTTTTTTATGCCGAGAAAATAGGACTGTTGTGCACTACCACAACCTCAAATGCCCAATTCCGCATTTCATTTTGGTTATTCCTTGTGTACATTAATAAAACCCAATCCATACTATAATTTAGAACATGTAATCAGCACTCCCTTCACTGCAGCAAAATGAAAGCATTGTGTTTGCAGTAGCTAAGCAGAGCAGTTACAGAGTTGGCAGAGGGTAATGTTTGTGCCCGAGGCCTCCTGCGTTCCCATAGTCCCAGTTTGTGTGTCAGGATATAAATAGAGTTGCTCCACCACCAGAAAGCGGTGCTATAGGTTAGATGCCAGCAGTTGCCTCAGTCCAGAAGAACCCACCCACCCTCTGTCCCTTGTGACCCCTGAGTCTCTGGACCACTAGCATATGAGCCGAAGTCGCAACAATGGACTTGTTGTAAAACCTGACTGATAAAATGTCTAGCATCACACATTTTTCTGCAGTGTGTGTTACTCTTGGGCTTGCACAAGAGCATCAAGCTGAAACACATGCATTATTTGTACACTTATAGAGCTAAAGGCACATGCAGGTTCCTTTAAACATCGTTTTAGATTCAGTGTAATGATGTATTTCTCAACCTGGGGCTGAACTCTTTTTATCGTCACAGCTCCGGCTCGGGTAGTTTCCTGTGTGCATATGAATGATGCAAAAAGATCAAATAGCAATATTAATGACAAGGACCTGTGGGTGCATTTCAGTTCGGTTGTGTGTAGAAATGGGTCTTCGGGGATAGTCCTGTTCTGCTCTGATACCATCATGACTGACAACCTGGCTGCGTCTACTGACAGTTGTGCTGTATGTACGCGTTTGTGTGTAGCAACAAATGAAAAGCGAATAAAGGAGAGAAAAAGGCTGGGGCGTTAGAAGATGTGAAGTCCTTAAGTGTAGGTGTGTGTGGACCGACCCTCTTACTAATACAGTAAATGCGCTGTTATTTTGCTTTTGCATTGTTTTCATTATTTTTCTCATTATTTCCAAACAATAATGTATTATGTTATTCTTTTGTATGCATTGTAAATGTGATGGTCGTCTATTTGAGGGTCAGCTGATTTATTTATACGATGTTTTTGATGGAGCTTACTTTATTTTGTACAGAAGCAGGGCTGTGGGAAGTTAATCGTTTGTTTTCTATGTAGAAAGGTGCAGTTTTATGGTGACCACTGACCATTGTACCGTGTCCCTGCTTCAAATGCTACTGCTTAAATATCCTACAAGTGGAGCTCATGTGATTTATTTGCAGTGCACAAATCAAATGAGTCGTTTGTTGTTTGGGTTTTGAGCCTGTTCTCTTATATGTTTTTCTAAAATTGAACTTGCAGAAATGCACAATGCATAATACAAATTCAAGCAGATTGTCATCAGACAATTGCTTTTCAGTGCAGATTCTGAATATGGCGGATTTCCTGACATCCTCAGTAGTTATTTGCTGTAACTGTAAGCCCCTAGCTTATTGTTTTCTCATAACATGCATCCAATAAATACTTTGCCAGGAGCTGCCTTCTCCTCATCTTCATTCTGGTAGTTCAACTTGATAACATGAATGTCGGCTCAAGAATCAACAACTGTTGAATAAAACAAGTGTTGTATTTACTTTTAGCACCCTCAGAATTTCCAATAAAATTCACTCTCCTCAGAGAGACATATTCTGCTCACGGCAATAAAACACAATATATTCTGTAGTACTGTGACGAATGCTGAGGTGGAAAGGAATCAGACAATTCAGACTGAATACGCCTACTTTCTAAATTTCTTCCATTTTTTTACATGTATTTTTGTGTGCCGGATATTAATACCAAAGCCACGAATATACACTGCACATTTTAGAGTTGTTTTTGTCTTTACAGCTTCTCATCATGAATCACTGTCCTTCAACAGCTAACTATGTTCCCTCCTTTATGAAATGCCCCATATATCGAGTCTGATGAGCAAACAATTGCTTCTTATGCTCAATTAAGAAAGCATTTCCTGTTCATCACTAGCTGGGATATCAGTGAGCCTCTTGTTCACCTCCAACTTTAATTACTGCTCTTCTATGATGGAGACAATGATGGAGTCCACATAGAGTTAAAGTAACCCAAGACTACCCAAGAGCCAACAGATAATCATAATCATTGCCATTTGCTCTGCTCTTTTTTCCAATTCACCCAGGTGGTTTTGTGTGCAGAAAAACGTAATGATTGTCCACAACGCTTACCCTAATTGTTCACTTTTATGCTAAATACATGTTATAAAGTCACACGTGTTGCTGCAGGGAGACAGCTTAGCACAAAACTCATGACCTACCACTGGATCAGCTGGTTACGATTGGCATTGAGCATATGTACAGTAGTTGTAGTTATAATACATAATACACCAGAGGAAAAACAAAATCAGAACAAAAAAGTCAGATTTAAGCAACACTTTATTTAAGACACTGATATTTTACAGTTCACGGATTCACTTCTTATGCTAAAATGAATTTGACTGAAAACGTCGGTGCTTCATGGCAATCCTACAATACTCACCGGTGCACATGACTCTAAAACAACTGAAGAGATATGTACAGAAATCTGTGATCCCAAATTCTTTCAATGGGTTGCTTTTGATAGTATCAATAAATAATGTCAGTGTGCTCCCATTTGGAATCCTTGACACAATGTTTTAATTCCTGAACAGAACTACTTTACCTGACAGCCCTCACCCTCAAGACAAACGGCATGTGCATGACAAACAACAACAACACAGTAACACTGAAGGGTAAAAGCCTTGACATCAATCTATTTAATGTATCTACAAAACAGTGAAACATCTTACAGTAAATGAGAAACCCCACCGTAGCAAAATTCAAGTTCTGTTTTTATCTCAGCAGACAATATGAACAGTTTCAATGCATGACACTTTACACGAAGGCCCAGACTGGTGGGAAAAAAAAACGACTGAAACCCCACTGATCTATAAAACACTAAATTAAAGATCAGTGAGTAACTCAGATGATGACACACTCATCATAGCTAATTTCGCAAGCGGTCATGCTACCGTGCCACAGTTTACCGATTCAAATAAACTCGTCACTAAACTAACAGAGCCAGCAGAGCAGCAAGGAGTAATGCTGCGCTCTGGTCAGGCCTTGAATCTCACTAACAAACGGCATAAAAAAACATTACATTCAAGACTTCATAAAAGGCTGTGACCGTGTCATGATTTTTCAATGTAGCAGAGAGAGATGAGGTCAGAACTTCAGCTCCACACAGAGACTGAGACATACTTAAAATGCATAACAAATGCACGTCTTTCTATTAAATGTACTAAAAGGTATATGACTAATAAGTCTGCGTTGCAGCAGTACGCAGCTACACTGTACGTGTGGGTGTCTATTTACGCCAAACAGAATATTACAGGATGGATAATGGCATGAAATGAAGTACTTTGTCACATAATTCTTCCTCCAGATACACATGTTGTTTTTTTAAATACACAGAGGAGTGCAATGTCAATTTCATACAAAATTGTAATAGTGTATATCCACTGGTTTGAATTCCAATCATGGACAGTTCCCTCCTTGGTTGAGGAGCAGATCAAAGACTGATGTGGTGGATGTGATAGAACTGTTTTCTAGTACAGAATTACTTTTCTATCAATTAAAAACCTTCCTCAAGTCCAAAAAAATATACATTTCTACATTTAAATTATGTAAATACAGTAAAATAGTTTCTGTCTGACAGCTCGCTCTTTTCTAGCTTCGAGCAATCATCGAGCCTTTACAGATCATCCACATCAAAAGTACCAATAGCTTTTGATTATTTCTATCATTTGATTTTTTTCTGTTTTTTGTTTTTACAGATAAAATCTTTAGAACCATGTCCCTTTTCTTTCTGAGAAATCCCAAACAGTGTTTTCTGTATTACTGCCTGGCTCCGTGTGCAAACTGAGCTCTCTTTACGGTAGAATGCAACGGGCCAGCCAGCAAGCTGTGCTTCACTTTTTAAGCTATAGGCTAACCTCTATTTCAGTCAAGCACACATTAAGCCATTCAGACAAATCAATAAATTATAGTGCTTATCATCTCACAATGACAACTTTGAAATAGGACTGCAACAATTAGAGAAAATGCCCATACTTGCAGACAAATACTATCCCTCACAATGAAATGTGTGAAACCATGAAGTCCAAAAAGAATAGTTAACACCCCCATAAAGATGAGCCAGAAATGCTACAAAACATAAACTGTTAAATTGTGTTTCTTCTTGGCAGTTATGTTAAAAAAAAGCCTGTTGTTTGCAAACTTTATATTCACACTTACAGGATATCTTCTTCTGAGCTCAGACTACCTTGTAGTTCATACAATATACTGTCACTTCTTTCAGACGCTTTGCTCAGGATTGACTGCATGTGTGACACACATGATGCAATGGAATAACAGGCCCCTGAATCTTCAGCCAATCCAACTGAAAATAATCCAGTAAAGCACGTCAGACTTTACGCACCAATAAAATTTGATCAGTTTGCAACAAACACTGCCAGAAAACGTCGTCTCAAAGTTCCATGTAAAACTAGAATAACTGCCTCGTGGTTGTATGCCTCTACCAACCAGTTTACATCCATGTCCATCCAAAATGTCCTCACTTTATCCTATATATATATATTCTGGAGTTATGGCCAAAAACACGTTTTGTAAGGTTACTGCGACTTTTGACCAATAAATTTGAATCAGTTCATCCTTAAGTCCAAGTGGACGATTGTGCCAAAATTGAAGAAATTCCCCTCAAGGCGTTCCTGTGATATCACATCCACAAGAATAGGGAGGACGGCAGGAAGGAAGGAAGGGCGGAAAAACGGATGGATAGAGGGAAAACCCAAAGACATAATGCTTCTGGCTTCCAGTTGAGTTGTTCTTACGTTTTGGCTACCTACACTTTGGCTCATCTTTAACAGGAGTGATTATTCTAGATGGCACTATACTGTACATCTTAAAACACTCACCGGAATATGTCAATTCCACATACCTATCTCTAATTATAAGATACACACATGTTTATGCTTTATTTTGTGACAGACTACAGAGATTTGTCCTATATTTCAGCAAGATTTAAGAGACCAATTCTTTTGTAAAATGTTCCTAAATATGCAATAAATAGCACAGCTCATAAAGGAGCTTGTCTCCCGTGAGTCATAAATACAGCAGAAGGCTTTTCTTTTATCATTGTCTATGTCTTTATAGTCACTGTTAATCCCTTATTAATGTGCATACATTTAATCTCTCCTGCATAGCACTATATTGTCAGTATTTTGGTGCGATGAAGGAGATTATTTGCTTGAGCTGTATAGTCTCAACTAGTTATACTACTAACGTTTGCAGAATGCCTGCAGCTGAGACTCATGATCTACTCATTCTGCCTACTTCTAGTCTGGTGTGCATTACCCCCTACTTTCATACTGTCATCCTTCGGTGTTTACTGGATCATGGGATCATCATTGAGAGAGGACAGTTGAGTCGGGACACTGATAAACGACTGGATCTTGCCCTCGGAGTAAACCGTGGCTCTGTTCGACACAGTAGTGAAGGACAGGTGGTCATGCTCCAAAATGGCGAGGCGGTCCTGCGGCTTCTCCTTCTTCAGGTAGAACATCTTCCTCAGCTGCTTCAGTTGCTGCAGCTCGCAGAAGGTCTCCAGCACCACCAGCATGACTATCAGACCCAGGATCAGGTAGACTGATGAGACAAACACACAGAGGGATGAGTAACTAGCTGCAGTGAGTAGGATCATTCCATTTCACATCAAAAACAAACAATAGCCACACATTTTCAACACTGTCTTTTTTTATAATATATATTATTATATATAATAATATTTGTCATATATATATATATTATTTTCTTTTGTAAATATCTTTTATTGCTTTTCACACCAGGGAAGATGATACACCATATACATAAATTACAGATGAAATTGAAATCCTCATTTTCCAACCTACAAAAACATATTTTACAATTTCTGTAAAACACAAGTATTATATGGTTTTTTTTCATAAAGACTGTTGTTTGTATGCACAGACAGAAGAGGGCAGTGGCTCGCTAACCATGAAAAGAACAGAGTGTGTGTGCTTTGTTGAATGATGAGATGAAGTGAGAAACAGACAAATTCACTGTTTACACATAAATGTTTGTTAATCGGTGCCTGCAGTAAAATCTTTCCCTGATTGGCTTTCACTAGCAAACCATCTTTGTCAGTATCTATGAACAATCCCCCTGAAACTCCGGAGCAACTCACGGTATTTCTAGACCGGTGTATGAACTATATGAACCGTAATAAAACTACTGCATAAGCACTACTGTCATTTATTCACTGATATAAATAGGACTACTACAGCACTATAAGTGGCATGTTAACAAGTCTGTTGTTTCTGAATTAGCAACTATTTAAAATACACTTGAGATCCCTTTTGTTTGGATTCACTAAGAAGCAGAACATACTCTATGTACACAAAATAGCGCTGCACTTCAAATGCAAAAGCACAAAAGCAGTGACTGCTTATCACCAAAGGCACTGGCAAAAAATCAACACAAACAAAAATGAAAAAAATTCAGCAAACGGCATGAGTTGTTCATCATTTGTCGCAAACTGTTGCAAACAACCGAATGTTATTGCAGATTGCAAATGTCACTTACGACACTGACATGTAATTCTTCACATAGGACGTTGCTCAAATGTGTCTGTTGTTATTTGAGCTAACGAATACATTGTGTCACAGCCTTCCCTCCTCCTACAGACTGACACTCTGCTCCTATTGAATGACGTCTCTCTGGCTGGTGTGTAACAAACACCCACACATGCAGGCGACAGTTCACTTGAGTAGCGTTCAACGTTTATGCCCACCCACAGCTTGTCAAGAGTGCATCGGATCAAATGAAATTAGACTTTTTCTTTTTTCTAATTCTCGTCACTATTAGCCCCGACAGTGGCGCTGACAGGAAGCTGCACGATCAACCAGGAAATGCAATCAATGCCTTGCTGATCTCCATTAGGCCATGGCTCAATGTTTCTTCCACAATGCACTGTGCTGTGTTGCCTGACTGCTTATGTAAAACAGGCTGGAAAAAGCAATGAATATGTCAACATTTTTGCTTTATCAGCAGCATCCAGCAAGTTAAAAAAAATAGTGTGGAATCGGGTGGAAAAGGCCACAGCTATTGCAAGTGAACCCTTTTTAAAGAGCGACGCATTGTTTAGAAGTTTGCAGTGAAAAGTTCTCTTGCAGAATATATGCTTCCTGTTCCATTACACTCTGTGTGAGTAGGACAGGCTAATTATTACCCCTAATTATATATCCACTGTTTCATTTCTATTTGTTTTGTTTTGTTTCTTGTTTTGTTTTGTAACAGAAGCCTATTTTAATATCGAAGCAATATAATTACTACTGTATCTGTCAGGTAAAACTATAAATCACATGTCATTTTGTCTATAACCCAAAGCTGTAAAGTGCAACGAGTCAAACTGAGATAAAGCCACGATAATAAAAGCTGGATCTGCGTTCACCATATTGCACACTGAAGAAGACATTTCTTACTTATGTTTTAACAATATGTTGTCGTACAGGTAAAACAATTGACCCAGCTGATTGTGTCACACCCAGGTAGTACAAAGTTCACCATCATAAAACATGTCATATGAGATCTTCTCATATAAGTTCATAACTTATTCTGAGATATTGGAACTATTTAACTTGAGCAAATTTACATTACACTACATGTTACAGTTATAGTGCACACATTATAAATCATCTTTAGGGGTTTGTTTCATAAACAATGCCACAGCTGTGTGCCAGTCGTCTCATCCGTAACATGTTTTTTTGCTCACAGCACATATTATATTAAAATGATATGCTGTTTAAAATGATTCATACAGTACCATTACAAACACCTCAATGAGAATGACAGTGGACAGCAGGCGGAATCAATTTGAGACGTTACCGCTGCCAACGCTTGGCCACGAAAATAAGAAGAATCGTCGGCACTCACCAGTGATGCCCACTTTGTAGAGCTCCCTGAACCTCTGATTGGACGCCTCTCCGGGTACGTAGTCACCCAGGCCGATGGTGCTGAGGGAAATGAAGCAGAAGTAGAAGGACTCCAGGAAGTTCCAGTTCTCCTCCAGTGCTGAGAAGATGGCGGCGGGGATGAGAAAGAAGCAAGAGATGGCCAACATGGCGAGCACAGTGGCGTGAACGATGGCCACCAGTGGCTTGGACAGGCCCCAGCGCCTGTGGATGTACATGACCGGCCTCCGCGTGCTGAACACCATGATCCTTTGCACCACGGCAGTGAGGAAGAGGAGGGTGAAGGGGATGCCAATCACTGAGTAGATGATGCAGAAGGCCTTCCCGCCATCCGACAGTGGTGCTGTGTGACCGTATCCTGTAGAAAAAACAAACGGGACAGAAAATCAATATATGTAAACGTTCGCCCAACGGGTTTTGGAATTCAGCCCCTTTCTGGTTTATTTAAACTTATCTAAACTTAATTTAATACAGGGCAGGTTCATGAGCATACGTGCTCTTTTAAAGCAACAACCTGTTATCGTTTTTACTGAGAAATAAAATAACAGGCAGTGTCACTAACTAAGTATAAGAGTCAATAACAGAGGAGGAACAGACAGTAAAACATGTACAGGCTCAATTAAAGCAATTACTGGCAGGTAGAGGATGAGTTTTGATGTCATGTTAATGTGAAAAAAGGGTTTGCAGTAAAAACCTAACATGCTCTCATGAAGTGTACCAAACAAGAGTGTTAAATATACCATGGGTCACTAACAAGGGTGTGTGAGTGAAGAAATTGCAGTAGGTGATGTGTTGTTAAAAATATTAAACAATCAACTTTCAGCTTCCACTTGGTATTCATTAAATACAACTGCTTCTGTTTTCACACTGGTTCCCTTCCTCTTTTTCTCTGATGAGAGTTAAAGGTAGTTTCAACATGGTGTCTAATTCAGTATCGTGTACTAGTATTTCTGTCTGAACGTCTGAGTAACAAAAGCAGCAGGTGTTTGATATATCATGGTTGGTGAGACAAAATGAGGAACAAACTCATTTAGAAAATACCATAGCGTAAATGCAAAAGGTTTGAGACGAAGAAAGCACAATTAATCAGAAAGAGTCAGAGCCCCATGTGATCAACTACACGTCAGTCAAGTCGAGGCTTGAATAGGAAAGCTTTTATGCAGCCAGGCTGGAACTGCTGTTCATGGTATCGGCACAATGGTGTATGTTGAAACTTCCGCGATAGCTGCTGCCATGTGGTCAGGCTGCAGTTCTTCAGGTATCCTCACAGATCATCTGCAAGCTAAGCTAGCAATACTAGAAAAAAGTATCATGCAAAAACTTTGCAAATGCCCGAAGACAAAACACACACACACACACACAACTATTTGTTAAAGGCTTTACCTGAATAATATGACTGCCTGGGGGGATAGCGATGATGTTGACATAGACAATGTCTCATGTTTGTGTACTGTAATGTTTTGCAAGAGGGCTGTTCACATACAGCAATGTTTATCAAATTGGATCCTACCGACTGCAAGGCGATGTTTATTGTGGCAACACACATGCGAGATGTAAACACGCATGTCTGAAGCGTCTGTATCTAAATAACCAGAGCAACAAATACAAACAGACCTGATTGACCTACCGGGATAAGTAATTAAGTTACAATTACCATGACCCATGTTTAGTTTCCTCAACCGGCCTTGTTTGTGTTCCTAGTAGTGGCTCAGGTACCTTACAGGGCAGACAAACCGGGGCCCGCTTAAGACGAATGCATAGACTTAAACATAGTCTTGTCTTATAGTGGGCACCTGATCGGCTGCAGCATCACCTGCAATACTCTCATCAACGCTTACCTGTGGTGGACAGCACGGTGCTCGCAAAAAACAGAGCAGAAGTGAAGTCCCAGTTCCAGTTAGCCGAGGCGTTGTTGAGGATGGAAACCCCATAATTACTGGCATCCAGGGCTTTCTTTAGGAACCGCTCCAGTCGCTCCTCCGATAGACATTCATTCTCCTGGAGGAACTGTTTCTTAATGGCCCTCAGTTCCTGGCGCAGGAGGTCTTCATAAGGCAGCTCAACCGAGGAAAAGACAACAGCGCCGAATACGAGATAAAGGATGTACCCCAAGACGAGAGACACAAAACACCACGTTGATTTGTGACTCTGTATCAACCGCACACACGAATTCCCGGCTAGAGACGGAAGCATTTTCAAGAGGTATCCCCTCGGTGTTACGCTCCGGGTTGATATAAATCAATAGCCTTCTAAACTAATGGTATTAATGTAATCGCCCGCGCGTTGTATGAGCGCAATGTAGCCTAAAGAGGGATGTTGTTACAGACAAAGCTCAATGAGATCTCTTCCCCCCTCCGCGAAATCTGCGGTGGCACTTGAGGCTTTCAGGTGCAGTCGGAAATATCCATGTTGTTGGATGAGAACTAGCCTATTCTGGCTTGAGATGCTGATATTCCCCCACGTGATAGGCTCTTATGGTTGTGGTCGTCATGGGTGGATAAAGGATCATTTAAATTTATAGAAGCACGTGGAACGGGTGCAACCCTCGTTTACGCTCCTTTCTCTCTAATGCTATCTTAGGCTGCAAAAACAAAAACATTTGAGTCTGATTTTTTTAAATGATACAACTCAGCAACGTCTACCATTTACACCTTATATATATTTATTTCAGAAAAATAAACACAAAGTCAAAGGCTCCTACATGTAGTTTTCGTGTTTCCGAGCTTCAAAGGGCACCTGAAGGCAGCAAGTGATGTGGCGACAAAAGCCGACAAAGGCCGTGTGACGTAAGAGTTTCCTCTTCTCTCCTCCCAGGTCGCTGAGGCCCGGTTGTGTTTTGACGTCTTTCAGTTTCAATTCAAAGCCAATCGAAAACGTCAGACAGCTATCGCACTGTCTCCTCGCCCATTGTTTTTGTAACTTAAGATAGTGACGAGGAAGAGTGAACATGACACGCCCAACATGACATACAAAGAACATCAGCAGGTTGAGTGCTGTGGCATGTGGGGTGTGGAGGAGAGACAGGTTTGGCTTAGAATAGCCTTTCCTTGAAATAAGCTTTTAGAATAATCAATGAAATAGGACTACAAATCTAGCAGCATATGTGTGTCCGTATTGACATTTAACTAAGGGGCCGAGTCCACCAGAGCGGTTTTTCCCCCTGAGGGCAGTGCATTTTTATCTTTATTTTTTCAACATTATTTTCAATTATTTTCGCGTTTTTATCTGGTTTCCGAAAGTTGAAAAATGTTCAACTTTTGTTAAAACGCTGCGCGTCCAATCACAGTGGAGTAGGGCCGGGACAAACACCGAATGTGTACCATGTTGTGGCCTTATCATAGACTGTATATAAGAAGGGCCTTATTGTGTAAGTTATGCTATTGCTTTTACTTTGGACTTCATTGTGCCCTCATGTCTGGAGCATTGGAAGCCAAACGAATTTCCCCATGTGGGATAATAAAGTTGATGTGAATATGAACAATCCCTCCAACATCGTATTAGTCGTATTGATATGCAGCCTGTCGTCTCTCCCAACGTGCTTCATCCAGAGCAAGTACTCTTCCTTGTGTAGACCGCAGTGAACTCAGCATGCACACATCTCTGTGGTCAACTCAGCAGACACTTGAATTTTAGTGCGCCTATATGCTGAAAGTATCGGTAAACGCATTCAAACGGAACAGATCGGGAGCGAGCGAAGGATTTTTGCAAAGTTAGCGGAGGGATTAACGTGAGACAACATCCGGTTTCCATAATAAGATGTCAACTAAACGTAGGCCTATATACAAATTTCATTATGTGGAAATAAGATTAAATTAATTGTATTTACAATGTAAAGTAAATATGTCTGATTTTCAGTATGGTTGGAGTCAACAATGTCCTGAACACATATCTATCAGTCATCGTCTGGATTTATTGAGAAAATACTTTTTAGAACACTTCAAATATTCACTTATTCGATATTTTCTCGGTACAGATGTATGAATTTTACTTAGAAATATCTATTAATTGGTACAGTAAATATGTCTGATTTGCAGTATGGGTGGAGTCAACAGTGCCCTGTACAAATATGTATCAGTCATCGTCTGGATTTATTGAGAAAATATTATTTATAACACTTCAAATATTCAGAAATGTACCTGTTTCTCGGTACAAATATATGATTTTACATTGAACCATCTAATTGGTACAGTAAAAATGTCTGATTTCAGTATGGGTGGAGTCAACAATACCCTGGACACATATACATCAGTCACTGTCTGGAATTATTGAGAAAATACTTTTTATAACACTTCAAATATTCAGTTATTAGATGATTTGAAGTTAGCTCATGAATGAGATTTTGAAGGGCTTTAATTTTGAAATGCTACATCAGAATGTCCTGGTTCTGTCTGAGTGACACCTTGAGGTGGTCTGCTATTAACCTGAAGTGAAATGATTTTGTAACTATGCACCATTTCCTCTAAAATCTAATCTGAAATTAGACAAATTGTCTCATGAATGGGATTTGAAGTTAGCTCATGAATGAGAATTTGAAGGGCTTTAATTTTGAAATGCTACATCAGAATGACCTGATTATCCTTAAGTGACACTCTGACATGGTCTACTATTAATCTAAAGTGAAATTATGGACCATTTCCTTTCAAATTTAATCTGAAATTAGAAGGAAGTTGTTTTATGAATGAGATTTCAATAGGCTTTAAGTTTGAAATGCTACATCAGAATGTCCTGATTATCTCTGAGTGACACTTTGAGGTAGTGTACTATTAATCTAAAGTGAAACTACTTTGTAACAATATACCATTTCTTTAAAAGTTAATCTGAAATTATAAAGAAGTTGGCTCATGCATGACATTTTGAAGGGCTTTAATTTTAAATACTGCATCAAAATGTTCTGATTATCCACAATTGACAATCTGAGGTGTTTTACTATTAATCTGAGGTGAAATTAGTTTTTGAACTGTGGACAATTTGCTTTTCATTTTGATCTAAAATTTGAGGTAAACTTCAAATATTCAGTTATTAGATATTTTCTTGGTAGAAATTTCGGAAACCAGATGTTGTCTGACGGTAATCTTTCCCGCTTATTTGATATCTTATTTTGAAAACTGGATGTTGTCTCACGTTAATCTTTCCGCTAACTTTGCAAAATCCTTCACTCACACCCGATCTGTGCCGTTTCAGTACGTTTACCGTGAATTTCAGCATATAGGCGCACTAAAATTTAAGTGTCTGCTGAGTTGACCACAGTTTGTGTAGACATTTTCACTTCCTCAGATATTCCGTATCATGGAAACCAGACGCAAACAAAGGCTCTCAGCTGAAAAAAAGGAAAACTTCAAAGCGCCCTCTGCTATGGAAGCCCATTTCTGCCACTGCAATGAAAAAATGTAAGATCCTGTAAGTCCTTATAATGAGAACATTTCTCAAAATAATGACTTAGTATCTCATAATTATGACTTATGTATCATAATTATGAGTAATAGCTCATATATCATAATTATGAGATAGCAATATGACTTAGTATCTAGAGTATGAGATACTAAGTCATTATTTTGAGAAACTTTCTCATCATAATGACTTACAGGATCTTTATTTTTTCATCACAGTTTTGAAAATGGGCTCCCAGAGGAGAGCTGGTGTTTTCAGCTGGGGTGAAAAAAACGCTTTGGTGGACATGGGCGAGCCTACTTAAATATATTTTGAGGTATTTGTACTTTACTAATTAGGGCCAACCAAATGATGTACATTAATGCGTCACTAATTATAAACCAGTAATGTAATATATATCTTTTTTAATTATAAGTTTTTTAATCCAAGACTTTTACTTGTAACAGAGTAGTTTCATTTTTGCAGCAACTGAAGGAAGAGCTTTGATATGTTATTCTTGATTTTTTTTATTGTGATATGACTCAAAAGGAAACGGTAGGCTGAGTTGAATTTTGAGTGGATGTAATCTTTCCACCATGAATAGTTATTTGGTTCAGAGGGCTGATTAATAGCGAAAATAACATGTAGGTGTGTTAGATTATATTTGGATTATAATACGTTTTTTTAAGGAAATTAAGAGATCCAATAATTGACAGCACTAATTGTTGTATTTTATTGTACCTTATTCAAAGGTGTGTTTTAGTCTTCACAGGGAAACACCAACTAAAGATTAAAGTGGTTTATTATTACTCATATAATTAGATTGTAACACATATTGTATTGGTACATTTGAGTGTCACCACATGATATCTATGTAGAAACATTTCACATAAGTTGTTAAATTTATAAATGTCAATATTTGTATAATGTCAGGCAAAAGACCACAAGGGGACCCCAGAACCAGAAATGCATGGGCTGTTGTAATGTTACAGGAAGGAATCCTGCATACAGTTAGAAACAAGGGGGGTCATAGGGGCCCAGCAGCTCACTCGCAGATACATCTGGCAATGGGCTGCTGGTGGTTACATTCATCAGACCATAGACAGGGTTCTGCTGAACATGACAATGGGCCCATGACATCATGTCACACTGGGCCCCCAGTACTGCAGTACTATTTAAAGCACATGTATTGGTGAAAGGCCATCTGAAATTAGTTCCCACTACAAACTAGGTATTCATGAATAATTAACTCAAAATATCCCCAGCAGTCATTGGTAGCATATTGGATTTTCCATGCACTCTGTGATTTACAGAATGACAATTCATAATATCGGCCAAGAGGTGACAATATGATAACTGATTCCCTGTGACTCTAAGCACAGGGGCCCCTGCAAAGTTAATGACCGTATATGACCTATCCGGGCTGCCGTAGTAATGCAAGACTGTAGCACTCCTCCTCAATGAACGTTGGAAAGATGGCGACGGCATACGCACAAGCGAGAGTCAACTGTGCCGGCGGATAGAAAGTGCTCTAAAGAGACAAAAACCTGCCTCTTTTGCAAAGATTTAACGGTGCAAAGTCGGTCTGATATTGCTTAGACATGGTTTAGTCCATGCACGGCAAGGAACAAGAAGCCACTGCTTTGCTATGGAGCCTCCGGATCGTAACAAGCCCAGCAGGTATGCGAATTTGTTGAACAGACACTACACCATCAGGACCTCGCACTTGCCAAATAGGGAGCTGAGCGTGACACTGCAGCGGGCGCTATGGGAGCGCTTGCGCATCGCTTAGAAATCCACTTCCTGTCAAATAGTGATACGCGTGCAGTTACTGCAACACTGGAGTTGCAAACTTTTTGGAGGAACATTTTTAGGCGTACTCTGTTGCAGATATTATCTTCTAGTCTGATTCTCAGTTGCTAGCGAGAAAAGAAAAAAATGCTCACCAAATGATAAGGTAACATAACGAACAATTATCCACCGTGCAACATGTCAAACAAGCTAGCTAACGTCTA